AAATTGTGGCTTGTCTTCGCCTTCAACTTTCCTTCGCATCATTCTTTGTCCTGATTGTCAGGGTTGTCAGAAACGACAAGACGACAGCTAGTGGGAGACGAGAAGGGTGTTTGTCATACGTCGATAGGCGTCAGAATTGACACATTCTCCGAGTGCGAAACGGAAGTGGCGTTTGGGGCGACGTACTAGAGGGTTTTGAGGGTGCAAGACGGATAAATATTTGAGGAATTTGTTGTCGAGGATGAAGGCGTAAGAGACTTATCGCTTGTTTGGCGGCTCTGTAAAAGGGATTTCGAGAGATTTCTATAGTTTTGCATACAGAAGATATCAAGAACGACTAAAAGATATACGCTATTACTTCAGCTCGTCAAGACGTGGCCAATTTTTATAAAAAAACGTGTGATTATGGTCTGGCTTCCTCTTTTACTTTATATTGAAGTACTACAACCAATACCTGACTTTTCCTTTTCATCGTTCGAAAGAAAAGGATTTCTAAATTTTAGCGAAGTATCCGACATGAATGGAAGAAAGACACAACGGACGGAGGAGGAAAGAGGAGCAACGTGAAATTTCTAACCCTTCGATATACAGCATTATACCCTCGTGTGCGGTTCGTAGGAAAAGTTTTAGGTGAGCTGCGTACGAGGGTTGGAGACAGACCTTTTCGCAAAAGGGTCTAACGACAGTTTTGTATCCCATGGAAAATCACTGTCAACCAACAAGAGTCTGTAAAGTGTAGCATTATACAAATACATACATACATACGCACGCTTGTAGAGTCGTGGCCAAAAGTGCTGGATGATCACCGCGGCCGTTGAAAAAGTTTCTAAACAAATACATTAAGAGGCGCAAAGTTTAATTCATAGAGCAATTAAGTTAAACAGACAGAAGATAAATATATTAAAGTAACTTAAGATTTGTTTAGAAGTCTTAGAATTTATGAGTGTTTGATATATCTTATGTATATTTCATATTGCACATAATTAATCAATTTCGCCTTATCGTTTTATTATATATAAAACAGAAATATGAGTGTGATGAGATGTTAAAAATTACTTACGTAGCCACGAATTAGATTGAAGCAGCAGTTTTAATCTAAACTTTTGTCAATGACCGTACG